TGAATAGATCAAGCCGAAATTTGGATATCGATATGCGAATCGGTGTGCATTCTGGTTCTTTGATGGCCGGTGTGATGGGTGCTGCAAAGCTACAGTACGACGTTTGGGGTAGGSCTGRCGCGAAAATATTTATTTGCAGCCGTTTTTCTCAATTGAGGGGTTTCTTTTTTGTAGGAGAAGATGTTATAATTGCTGGTATATTGGAATCTACCGGACGACCAGGCCACATTCACATAAGCGAAAGGACTAGCAAAATGTTAATCGATAACCCCTATGAGCTTCTTCCTGGCACAGAGAAGGCTCTCCAACATCCTCATCTTGCAAGTAAAAACATTAAAACTTTTCTTATTGCGGCACTTGATTACAAAATAGTCCTGAGACAAGAGCAGTCTTCTCAAGCTCTGGAAACGATCCAAGATCTAGAAATGCAAAAAAAAGAGGCGCTGCGGATTGAGTTTGATAAGCTGCCTGTCGGCTCGTTCCAGTGAGTTTTTTCAGAACAAGTCAGCCCACTGAGCTTTAGTAACTCCTTTCCAATAGCGTCAAGAATAAGTTTACAACAATATTTCGGAAGAAAAGTCGTACCGCCAGTACAGAGCGTGCTACTACACGCCCACAAATAGGATTTTTGTTTTTGAACTTTCGCGATTCCCGAAAAGAGTTGAACTATATGAAACAGCCCGACTACATGTTGAGATATAGCGTTCTGTTAGCTTGGTTTGCTGGAGTATTTCTAGTGTATCTTGTTAATATAAGCCACAAAGCCAACAAGACCAGCGTCAACAACAATATTATTGTTATGGTGTTACTGACTACGCCGGTGATCATCTTGTGGTTCAAGAAGGCTTGCCATTGGCGATATGGGAATGTTCCACATAACTTTACAAAATGCAGTTGCTTCATTTTCAAGACAGCCGAGTGCATACAGTCTAGCCTCATCATTCGAATGGGCATTTATATGAATATGATTGTGTGCTACTTCTGGCTTATTTTTCAGGTCCTGGTAAGTACAGAATAATTTCAACAAGCTACCCATAACATCCAAACAACATGCAGTATGAAGCTTTTGCTGTGACAGAGTTTTCATAATGATCATATTGATTTTGATTTTTTTGCTATTTAGAAAGAATGTGACTACGATGAATTCCACCTCCAACTTATCGAGAGTAAGCTATACCATTATGAAATGGATAAATACAAGTGTTTTTATTCTTGGGATCTCACAAACATGATGTCTCTCATGATTGCCTTAAGCATAATATTCACACGAATTCCCTGGATGGTGAAGATCATAGTAAGCGTATTAGAAGGAACTACATATATGATAATTATGTTTATTCAATTCGAATACGTAATTAATCGAAGTAGTACAACCAATCCCTACTTTGATTCAGAATACGCGCACGGCTTCAAGATTATGGCTACGTTAGGATGTCTCTACTTCATGGAACGGCAGGCTGAGTTCAATAGCCGGGTCAACTATAAGTAAGTAGCTCCGCGAGCATTGCGGTTCGCAACATCCAAAGTACTAAAGATGATTGCACTTGTATGTAGCTGGAAGTTGGAACTGCTCAAAAAACAGAATGACGCTGTCATCACTAATAAATCGATAACTATTCTGCTGCAGAATATTTTACCTGCTCATGTCGGTACGATGTGCTGCAATTGTTTGTCTCTCGCATTATTATTTACAGTCAATTCGTTTCCCCAGTCAACATATATCTGACGTCATTGGCGAAGCACCAGCTTTATGCTGAAAACTACAAAATGGTGGCGGTGATGTTCGCTTCCCTCCAGGACTTCAAAATGGACGTGCGCAATTTGCGTATTCTGAACGAGATCATAAGTCAATTCGATAAAATAGTGAGTGATATAAACAGGTTGTGACTTTGAAAGACTCAGACTTCGCTTCTTTCTAAACCCATGCTCGAAACTGAAATAAGTATATTGGTTTTGTGCATTGCCTATCTTGCTGTCTGTCAGTCCGTTTGACGCAATTTTTTCTGCGCTGAAATTTGAAGCACAAGCTATTGGTGCGATTTTAAAAAGAGGTTTGGCTCGTTCGGGAAAACCTTTCATTTYTACAATTTAGAGCTAAAAACTCAACATTTAGATGCTAAATTGCTGAGAGCATCTCTATTGCTTAGTACAAGTCGAATTTAAATACATATTTACTTATTGGGAGCGTGGG